GCTGTACCAGTTTACATTCCCACCAACAGTGTAGGAGGGTGCCCGTTTCTCCACATCCTCGCCAGCAACTAGAGTCCTCTGATTTGCTCATTTTAGCCACTCTGACTGGCATGAGGTGGTATCTCAGTGTGGTTTTGATTTGTATTTCCCTGATGAGGAGGAATGCTGAGCATCGTTTCATGTGTCTGTTGGCCATCTGGATGTCCTCTTTGGAGAAGTGTCTGTTCATGTCTTCTGCCAATTTCTTCACTGGATTGTTTGTTATTCAGGTGTGGAGTTTGGTGAGTTCCTTATAGATTTTGGATACTAGCCCTTTATCTGATATATCATTTGCAACTATCTTTTCCCATTCCATGGGTTGTCGATTAGTTTAATGGATTGTTTCCTTTGCCGTGCAGAAGCTTTTAATCTTGATGAGGTCCCAATCGTTTATTTTTGCTCTTGATTCCCTTGTTTTGGGGGATGTGTCAAGTAAGAAGTTGCTGCGGTGGAGGTCAAGGAGGTTGTTTCCTGCTTTTTCCTCTAGGGTTTTGATGGTTTCCTGTCTCACATTTTGGTCCTTTATCCATTTTGAGTTTATTTTTGTGTATGGTGTGAGAAATAGATCTAGTTTCATTCTTCTGCATGTTGCTGTCCAGTTCTCCCAGCACCATCTGTTAAAGAGGCTGTCTTTTTTCCACTGGATATTCTTTCCTGTTTTGTCAAAGATTAGTTGGCTGTACACTTTTGGGTCCAAATCTGAGTTCTCTATTCTATTCCATTGACAATACCGAGTCTTTTAAGGCATGAGCATGCTATTTTTCACCATTTACTGAGGCCTTATGTAATTTTTCTCAGGGATGTTTATAGTATTAGTGTATATGTCTTATACATCTTTGGTCAAATTTTTCCCTAAGTATATCATAATTTTGATCCTATTAAAAAGACACTTTAATAAATTTTTAAATTTCCAATTTCTCATTGTTAATATGTAGAAGCACAACTATTTATACCAACCTTCTGTCCTTCAACCTAATCTCACTTGCTACTTCTAGCAGCTTTTTGTAGATTCCTTAGGATTTTATACATAGAAAACAATATAGTCTGAGATTAAAGACAGTTTTACTACTTCCTTTCCAATCTGAATGCTTTTTTTCCCTACTGATTTACTGCACTGGCTAGAAACTCCAGTCCAGTGTTGAATGAAAGGGATGAGAAGGGTCATTCTTACCTCGTTCCCAATATTGGTGGAAAAGCATTTAGTCTTTCACCTTACTAAGAATGGTGTTTGTTATAAGTATCTCCTAGATGTTCTTTGTCAAATTGAGGAAGTACTCTTTTATTTCTAGTTTGCTGTGATTTTTATTATGAATGGTTGCGGACTTCTGTCAATTGTATTTTCTGTATCTATTGAAATGATGGCATTCGGCTGAAATATGGTAAGTTTGGTCTGTTAATATGGTGAATTACATGAAATTGCTTTTCAAATATTAAAAGCAACAAAATATTAACTTTGCATTCCTGAGATAAACCCCATTTGCTCTTGTTGTATTATCCTTTTACTATCTTTTTACTATAATATGTTGTTGGATTCTATTTGCTAATATTTTGTTGAGGACTTTTTAAACCATGTTTGTGAGGACTACTTACTAGTCTATAGCTTTCTTCGCTTACAATGTTTTTTCCTGGTTTTGATATTAAGACAATGCTGTCTTCTCAGAAGTTGGAAAAGGTTTCCTCCTCTTGCATGTTCTGGAAGTGTCTGTGTAGAATCGGGATTATTTCTTCCTTAATTTAGTAGAATTTATGAGTAATGAACCATCTATGCCTCCATATATTCTCAACATCTCTATTAACATGTCTGAAAAGAAATTAAAACTTAACATGGCCAAGCAGAACTAATAATATTTGGACCCAAACATGTTCATCCCTACTATTCCTCATTTCATATTAATGACATCATATTCTCCCATTTTGCTTAAACCAGAATCTTAATCCTTCATTTCCTGCTTTCACTCTTTCACTAACCCTACTCTTCAAATCTATCTTCAAGTCCCATCAGCTCTACTTTCAAAATGTATGTCTACTTCTCACCACCTTCATTCTCATAGCCCAGCATACACCTCCTGACTGGCCACACCAATGCACAACTGCCCCCATTGCATTCCATTCTCCAAATAGCAGCCAGGGTGATTTTTGGCTAAGTAAGACTATGTCACTCTCTGGCTTAAAACTCCCAACTGGCCCTTAATCTCTTCTGCCTTTAGATATTGACTGTAAAATAGAAAAACAACAAGCTGTGTCTATGTAGCCTGAAAATATTGGCTGTGAGAACACTACAAGAATTTGAGTAAAATCTTATCTGCTTAACTAGCTCCAGTGACCGAGAAATTACTAAATCGCAAACTTAGGCCTCTTGGGAAAAAACACAACTTTGCTGGATAAGTCCTAAAGAAGGTATAGGTTTTTGTCTAGAAAGAAGCAAAGGCACCAAGGGCAAAAGTAAGAATCCCCAAGTCCTAAGCTGTCCTTCTAGAACTTGACAACAACAAACACCTTCATCTCCAACCTACTCTCATCTTCCTAGGCTTCCTGTCCAAAGCAAAAGTGGTTGAGACAGTACCAGGAAAGGCTGTGCCTGCTAGTCTTAAATACAAAGGAGGTAAAAAACAGAGAAAATAATGCAACCAACTTATATATTCATATGTTTGGGTTTTTTAGCCATCCCCCGCTGAGGCCAAGGTAGGAAGGATCCCAGGAAACTTGGTCTTGCTCTTGCTTAATCAGCCTCATGCATCTCTGTAGAGCTGAACAGGTGCCCTCCTATATGCTCTCCATTCCTATTCTTCAACCAGTCAACACCTCACACCTGTTCTGGTCAGCTCTAGACTCACTCAATTTGCTAACTACTCTTCTATCTCTTTCTATTCTGCCCATTCTCACTCCTTAAGTTAAAGGAAACCACCATCTTTCTTGTTCCTTCTTCAGATCATCTTCACTCTAATTCTGCCTCTTTACTCTCTCAAATGACTTCCAGGAATACTTCCTTTAGCTTGACCAGGTGCTCATGCACTCCTCTTGTCTTCTTAGATATGATCAACATTGTGCTAGACGACACTTTCCAGAAAAGAGGAAGTGGCCTAAATTAATCTGTGTTCCTAGGACCTAGAACCAACTCTTAGCTGTGCTTTTGGAGAATCAAGGGAGGAGACTACTACCATAACTGGCGGCAACTGGGGGTGGGCTGGGGGACCGGGGCTAGGGTAACTGACTCTCATAAAATACTCTGCACTTAACTTCACAGCATTAATTATAATTATCCTTAAATCTGTGAATTCTGAGTATCTGTCTCTCCCTGCACTCCCCAACAGACTGAAAGCTCTATGTCTATCATGGAGTGCCTGGGTGGCTCAGTCAGTTAAGCAGCTGACCTCAAGTCATGATCTCACGGCTCATGAGTTCGAGCCCCACATCAGGCTCTGTGCTGAGAGCTTGGAGCCTGGAGTCTGCTTCAGATTCTGTATCTTCCCCCACACCCCACCCCTCCCCTGATCACACTCTGTCTCTGTCTCTCAAAACGGAATAAAAACATATAAAAAAGACTAAAAAATAAACAAATAACTAGGTCTATCATGATCACAACCATCCCTACACCCTACAAATCCCTGGCATATAGGTCTAACTCAGTTACTCTAGCCCTGCCAGATAAAAACAAATTTAATTTATTTCTCAATAAAGCTCTGAGATAAAGTAGTCTATCCCCATTTCTGGAAAAGCTAATAATAAAAACCAACATTTCTTGAGCTGCTACCGTGAGTTAGGCACCATTCTAAGATTCTTACATGTATTCTCATTTAATCCTCATGACAAACCTATGAAGTAGGTACTATAATTATTCCCATTTTACAGACGCAGCATTTGAGGCACAGAGAGGTTATATAATTCACCCAAAGTTATACAGATGAGTTGCAGAAATGGAATTCAAACCCAAGTAGCCTAAAAAGTCCACTCTATTATTCCCTATCTATAGTACCACTCAATGAAGACAACACCACATTCCTCAATATCAATGAACTGAGCCAAATAAAAGATGATATGAATAAATGCTACAAAGAAAAAGCTAGACTTAGACACACAAGTTGCCAGTTCTACATGACAATTCCAAGAAACTGCTACTATGAGTCATTCCAGTGCCTGACTCTTACTTAAAATAATAGTCAAGGGGTGCCTGGGTGGCTCAGTCTGTTCAGCGTATGACTTCGGCTCAGGTCATGATCTCACAGTTCGTGGGTTCAAGCCCCATGTCAGGCTCTCCACTGACAGCTCAGAGCCTAGAGCCTGCTTTGGATTCTGTGTGTCTCTCTGCCCCTCCCCTGCTCACATTCTGTCTCTGTCTCTCAAAAATAAACATTTAAAAATCTTAATAAAAAAATAAAATAATAGTCAAAAACCACACCTTTCTTTTCAATTGACAGACATATATGGAGAATGAAACCCAGAATATTCTCATGTTAAAAACATTTCTGCCACCAGATCTCTGTTTTATAAAAAGAGTCTATTTTTGTCTGCCAAAGGTAGCCCAATCACCCAACTGGACCTTACAGAACTAGGTATGTGTTGCCTGAGTTCTCCCATAGAGGCAGCAAGAATGCATGAAAACTGCCACCATCCCCACGGCTGTGTCTTTCCAGTTCTCCCAGTATTAAATGTAGGAAAATAATACATGTCAGGTTTGAAGGCGTCCTGCAAGCTTTTACTCTGTCCTAAAAATTACCAGAAACCAACGCAAGGCATATGACAGGGAAGACAGATCACAAGGGAGGGGGCAAGGAGAACAATTCAAATCATTAGCTGTCTGCCCACCAAATGCTTCTAAGTTCCCAGCATTCCACGGCCTGCTTCTGAGGCAACCACAGGACCTGAGGAGTCATGACGGCTTCAGCTTCTGATGTCTCTCTGATACGCCATGGAACGAAAAGGCCCTGAGTACTCTATTATTAGAAAAGGAAATTTTAACTTACCTTCCACTGCTCCTCTGGAAGCAGCTTCACGACCACCAGATCCCCATTCAAGGCTCTATTACGAGCAACAACACCATCAATAAAAATGTCTCGATCACCATCCTAGGTTGGAAAGAGAAAACAATCACCTTACCAAGGCTCGGAACCAAAAATTACTTCCTTGGTTTAAAAACTGTGAACTCTACAAACTGTCCACTGACTCAATGAGAACACTAGTACACAGCCACAAACAGGCCTAGTGGGAAATCAGTCTTTGGAACTAGCAGAAATGGGGATGAACACATAAGAGCAGGGTAGCAGAATGTTAAAAAAACATTTTGTTAAATATAGGAGAGAAAAACTCCCATAGGCAGACCCAAACCAAACAAAAATACATAATGCAAAAAATCAAGGCTGCATGCTTTCAATATTGGAATGAGAAAGGAGTAAGTGATTCTTTCTCATTTTAAATAAAATAAAGCATGATGATACCTTTTCTACACTAACTGAATTTTTTTAAGTATCAAAAAAGGGTTAAAGGTAGAAAATTTGCAGGCAAACAGAAGAACAAACAAAATATAATCCCCCAGTTGGTTTTCTTGGTGTTGCAGGAGCAGCAAGCAGCTCTAGGAATTGGGCTCACTAAGGAAGGAACCAGCAAATTCATACTCCTCCCTCACCCCTCCTTCCCCCCCTTACCCCACACTCCCCCTCCCTGGCAAGTGGCAGAGAAAGCAAAGTATGGTTGGTTTGATGGAGACCTAAGTAGAAGTCAAAGAAGAAAAGGAAAAGGACATGAGTGTTCTCACACCCCTCCACCTGTCTGACTAAGGAGCAGGGTGAACTTGGACCCCCCACCCCCACCCCCTGTGAACACAAGGCACAGAACACCCAAGTCCTCAACCACCGGCTTACAAATAACCCATTTAAAGCGGTGAAGCCCTAGTGAACTCCCCAGGTATCAAAGAGAGGCCAGAGTCTTCCTAGTAAGCCAAATTACCTTGCAAAAAACACTTAAATGGAAAAGAGAGCTAAGGAAAACCACTCCTTCAGCAGTAAGGGTCCATGAAAAAAAATTATTTTCAAAATGTTTCATCAACAAACATGCAAACATGTACTCTTATCCTTTTATCCTTCTAAGGTTTATACTCAGTGCTTCTTTTCAGAAAATAAGAGAGAAATAAAATACTCATTTTTCTTAAAGGAAATAAGAGCAAACAGGCAAAGAAAACCCACCACTCAAAATTTTCTAATAGATACATTTGATTAGATAAGATTTAACACTCAACAGACTAAAGGGGATTGCTGTAACATTTTAGCTACAATTGAAATGAGCATTCCAAATTCACCCAAGCAGCCCCACCGTCACCAAAAACAGGACCCTAAGCACTCAGCATTTTTCAGTTTCCAATTACAAGCCATCAGAGAGCTTTTAGAACAGCTTTTCTGTTCAATTTGCAGTCTGGCCATGGGCTCACAGCTGTGGTCTACACAGGTTGCCAAACCTGACCCACCCTAGTCCCTGAGGTACAGCTACCGTGTTAGCCACAAAGACAGAATTACTGCAGCTAACCTCATGTGGAGCTTCTCAGAGATACAAGGAAGAGGCGACCAGAAAACAGAAAGTGAGCAACTAAAGTGTGGCCCATCATCACCACTGCTGCCTTCTGCAGTTCACAGAGCACCAGGATCTCTCCACCTTGCTCCGGACAGAGACAGCTGTCTAGAGGGCATCCCAACCCGTGATCATGTGTCAAAACACATGGAGTGAAACGCCTCTTCCATAAGCAGGTATACCACCCTTAGCGCACAAAGATTTAAGATGGTAAGATACCGGTATTGCCATAACCCATCCCAAGAAACCAAGAAAAGCAGACAATATACCAAAAAAAAAAAAAAAACCTCAAACAATAGACAAATCTACAGGTATTGCATCACTACTCAGCTCTTACAGAATCCTATACCTATTGTAGAACCTCTTATTTTAAAGACAGTAAACTTAGGAACAGCTCAATATTAAAAGTTTGATTCATCCTACTTGCTTACTTAAAAAAAATTTTTTTTAACATTTGTTTATTTTTGAGGAAGGGGGAGGGGGCAGAGAGAGAGGGAGACACAGAAGCCGAAGCAGGCTCCAAGCTCTGAGCTGTCATATCAACACAGAGCTGAGGAGGGCGCTTAACAGATGGAGCCACCCAGGCACACCCCTTCCCCCACCCCCACTTGACTACTTTTAAAGGCCAAAAAGTTCAGCTCTTTAATTGAATCCCAAAGACTAGTTCTACCCACCCACCCGCAGAAAAAATGGGGAGCGGGGGAAACTGGCTAATGAACAACTCCAGAGGAAATACAAAGGGATCTGGGGATAATCTACGTAAATACTTAGGAGAGGAGCATGGGTAGTTCAGTCAGTTAATCATCTGACTTTGGCTCAGGTTATGATCTTCCAGTTTGCAAGTTCAAGCCCCGAATCAGGTTCTGTGCTATCAGCATGGAGCCTGCTTCAGGTTCTCTGTACCCCCTTCTCTCTGCCCCTCCCCTGGTTGCATGCATGCACGTACATGTTTTCTCTCCCTCTCTTTCTCTCTAATAAACATTTTTTTTAAAAAATACTTAGGAGACTTTGGAGGGGGGAGGACAACACAAGAGCATTCCCTATTGATGTAATAGTCCTTCTGGACCAAATAAATTCCACAAATGTCCTCCCATGACAAGATGCACAAAAAAAGTTATAAAACTTCTTTACACCAACTTATTCAGAAGGGAGTTTATATTATTTGTAAAAAGCCAAGTTTCTAAATCTAGTCCATTTCTCTTCTTTATCCTATTTGGATATCCTATTTGGATTTAGTATCCTATTCCAAATAGAATAAAGAGGCATTTCAAGAATACCAATTTATCTTGGTTTGCTTGAAAGTCACCTGGTTTTATTCTAACTCTGTATCTTACTTTTACTGAGAACCCCAGGAGACTGGCAGGTACACATATAAGTGACTTTTCCCACATAGTTTGGCTTTGTCAAAATAAAATGAAAATCAACTTTCTATCAGTAGAAATTATCATGAACCTATGTCAACATCCCCCAAAATGAAGTACTTCATTAAAACCAAGTAATGATGAATTACTGTTCTGAGCCTATTGACTTAAGTAGATATTTTAACATAGCAAATGACATTGTGTAAGTTCACAACTGAGAGTTTTTAAAGTTAGTAAGAACCTAAATAATCAAATCTAGTGTATTTTTCTTATCTCCAAAAACTTTTTTGGAGATTTTTAAATTTTAAATTAGAATTTATAATTTTTAAGTTGTAAGAAACATTAGACTATCTAATATCCACACCTAATTTCACAAACAAGGAAATCTGTCAATTTCCTATTGTCAGAGCAGGGGCTATGTCTTTGTTAGTATCAATTCCTGCCTTTACTCTCCATGCTACAGCCGGGGACAGTAGCATTCAGGCCCTGGTTCTGACATCCTCCTCCTAATCCACCTGCAAGCATTCTTCTGGTTCATAAAAGTTCACACGGGACATGGACATAAGCTACGTGTGCTCACAAATCCAGACGAGTGGTGGTTGTGGGGTTGATCTACATGCAGTTTATTACCTCCACTATCTCCCTCCTCAGTGCTTTTGACAATGCCTCTAAACACTGAAACTGACCAAAAAAACCAAAAAACTAGAATGCAGGACTGTTCCGGTGTCTACAACCAAAACTTACAACTAGGCCTTAAGAGAGCTTTTGCAGCCAGTTCTTAGTTACTTAAAGGTGAACCATTTAGCATTTTTTCACCCTCCGGGACAACATTACTACTCCATTAGTGCCAAATAGGAGACTAAAAGAGGCATACAAATAAGCCAATTCTAATATCAAAACTATCTACAAGATTCTTAATAGGACATGCCAAGAATACAATTTCAAGTAGGAAACAACTGGCCTTTTGAAACTTCAATCACTTTTGCTCCTTAGCTTCCTTTAACAAGCCAGATTAACCTGTGGGAACACATCATTTGCAAATTTAAGTCATATGAATTGAAATTATAGGACCCTAACGAGGCCCCATGGTTTAGAGGACCTCTCCTCCGGCCCTTCTCCAGTCACATGCCTCCCCATAAGCAGGGAATTCTCAGGGCCAAATGGATGAGCATCCCTGGGGTAATCAGCCCCAAGTCCACTTCCAGGGCATACACAGCCATCTTCCCCAGGTCTGTCTGCCCGAAGGCCTACCACAGTCCCCTGTGGCACCCACTGGTCTTGAGAGGTGACTAAAGCGCAGGTATTTCCAAGGCATGTGGGCAGAATTTGGACACGTGGGATATAATAAGATGCTCACATAGGTGCACGCAAGGGCCTTCACTGATGGGGGAGGTGGGTGGGCAGCAAAGAGGGGACAGGGAGCCAGGACTGGGAAGAGAAGAGGGGCAGGCCAGAGGGGGACCCTCTCCATGTAGTCACATTTCAGCATGGAGCTCTAAGGAGTCTGAGAATTCTACATTTGAACCCAAGTACATAGAGGTGTATTTGGCAAGAAATATATTTAATTTGTCATGAGTGCATTTAGTTAACAGTTTGCTAGTTTGATTTATACTTTTAAATATTTAATATAAAGTATGCATGCCTCCATTTGTACTCTTGTTCTGGGCCCTTCATTTCTTAGGAACCAGCCTAACAGGGATCCAACTCAGGGAAATTCAATACTGTGCACTCAGAGAAGAAAGAAAATAAGCAGTAAAATTTTCAAAAGACTCTGTGTAGCTCCCCTTAACATTCCAATCGATGACAGCAAACTTCAGTGAGCAGTCAGCTTCACTTCAGTGAGATGGGAGATTTATAATCTGCTCAGCTCCCAGGTATCTCTCAGGATGAACTCCTTACTGCACAGGGTATGATTCTCATGCTTAAAAGCCCATGTTTTCATACACCAGGGCCCCTATTAAAATCAAGCTCCTTCAACTGGTATGCCAACAAATAAATGGTCACTTTTTCTAATGTAGAGAATATGCTAGTTATGATGGACTTACTGAGAGATTATCTGTCTCCAACATGATATATTCCTAAGAGATTTCACCGGTAATTTTTATGATTACTGAATGTGATTTTCATCTTATGAGCAAACTTGGGAATCTTAACACCACGTAAACAGTGTCTCCACTGAATGGTAAACCTACTGCCGCAGCTAAGTTACTATGGCAAAGCTGACCCTCAGTTAGACAGTCAAAGTTCCAGGGTTGGCATATATAGCACTTTCCGTCACAGGAACAGAATAGGATTCAGAGAGAACAATGTAACATGCCAGTGATACTTTTTATCCAATCCAAGGGGTAAGAATGAACTTGAGAAACAAATGAATCCTTGGCTTCTGTAGGGCAAGAAAAAAAAGAACTAAACTCAGCTTGGGAATGGGTCTTAAAAGTTACTGTGACGCCGCTGCCACCTGTGAAGCACATGACTGAACTTGTATTCTCACTAAACTTGTCATTTAACATCATGGAAATATGTTAACCAAAATATTATATATAATTATATAATATATTATATATTACATAATTATATTTATATATATAATATAATATATATATTATATATATAATTTTATATATATATATAGTGTATTCCATTCTCTCATCAATAAGCTCAAATTTATTCCTATGCTCTCTTCCACCATTTAAACATCTATAATTGGGGGTACCTGAATGGCTCAGTCGGTTGAGCATCCAACTCTTGATTTGGCTCAGGCCATAATCTCATGGTTTATGGGACTGAGCCCCGCAACCGGCTCCACGTTGACAGCACAGAGCCTGCTTGGGTTTCTCCTCTCCCTCCTCCCCTCTACCCAGCTCATGCTCTCTCTCTCTCTCTCTCTCTCACACACACACATGCACACACACACACACACACACTCAGTCTCTCTCTCTCTGTCTCTCACACACACACACAAAATAAACTTTTTAAAAAAATCTATAATTCTATGGCTATCTATTTATGGCAGACTGGAAAAGTCACATCAGGAATTTGAGAGTCTTGCTCTCCCAGCTTTGTATACTCAAGCCTTATCCGGAGACCTCCTGCTAACTACATGTCAGAGTGAACTTCCCTTAACAGGAGAGAGCCTGTTAAAATGAGTCATGAACGGAAGAAAGGGTATAAAAGACCCAGCGGTGAAGAGCCTTATACCAAGTCCTATCACTTGCATAAAAGTGAAGTGAGAAACTCTGACCAAAAAGAAAAAAAACATTACACATTATTTTTGGACATGTTTGCAAATTAGCTCATGCAGCAGATAGAAAGTAGATAGCATATTTGTTTAGGAAAGATTAACTTAAATCAGCAGAAAAACCCATAAATCCTTTTAAGCCATGAACCAAGGGTGTCCAACTGCAAACACTGGTGGGTGTCTGTGTGGGTTCAGCTTCTCCCTGCAGCCCTAGCAACAAAGGCCACCCCTTTACTTGCAGTGTGGGTTTAAGACTGGCAGAAGCGGTTGTTAGCCAAAGGCAATTTTGCTTATTTAAATTTGAAACAAATCCTTGCCCATCCTTGATTTTGTTTTACTACTCCACTTTTTAGTTAGAATATATTTCAGTTTCCGAACATATCTAAAAAATTAAATGTGACGTTAAGTTTATTATAAAGTCATTGAACTTACCGGGGAAGGAATGAAGGCTTCATGAAACTTCTTTGGATTAATTCTCAATACACCCTTTAAAATAAAAAATAAAATCTGTGAAAATCTAGTTATACACTTAGAATTTTTCCATAGGTATGTTATTCTCCAATAAAAAGTTTTTAAATGAATTAAACAGCTCGATCTAGGAAACGATTCAGGCATCTGAGAACCATTCATTAAATGCGTGAAACGTGATTTATACCAATGTGTGGAACACAAGGTTCCATCGAAAACTGAAAGCTCACGCGGGCACCTTGCTGTGAACTGGCCGAGGGGAGAAGCAGCAAGCCCTGGCGGGGAGCAGCAGAGCAGGGATTTTACGTGCACGGGACGGACGTTAGTCTTCACATTGAAACCTTTACTTTAAGAACAAGGATGGGGTGCCTGGGTGGCTCTGTCGGTTACGAACAAGGTTATGTGGGGATTACGTCTCACTATATAATGGCCTTTTTTATTCACGGAGACCTTGCCACGTTTGCTTGTTTCTTTGACAACTTTCAAAGTGACACAGGTTGACTTCCAACCTGGATACTTAGATACTTAGATACAATCTGAGAGACCAGATGCGTATTTTTTCAGTCTGGCCCTTCTGCAGAGCCGAATGAGTCAATAATTCAAAATGGTCCAGAACCAGCTTTTAATGTAAATGGGAATCCTGGCTCCAACAGCCAGGCCACCCAGTCTGCCTTCAACTTCATGTTATTCCAGCACCAAATCAGGGTCTGCTGCTATTTGCGCACAGGGGTGCACGTGGGGGCTGCCTTCAATAGCAGTTCAGTATTTTAGGCTCTTGCAGGAAGCTGTAACCCTCCCAAGGTTCCAGCTGCATTTGAAGGCCACTGGAACGCATGGAGAGAGGCGGTTATTTTCCTAAGAGCCAGACTCCAAGGGTGTCTTGAGAAAGTGTTTTAAATAATATTTCCCCGTAAAATGTTGAAAGACTCAAAGATACATTAATTAACCAAATAGTGAGAGCATAAAATAGAGTAGAAAATAGTCCTTCCCTCCCCTGGTGCACCATGTTTAAATGTTTAACTTACAAATTCCCATGTCACAATTTATACTATTGTTAACATCCTGAGTGGACTTAATTCAAGACTTATTGCATACTGGCAACGTTCAAGACCCGGAGACACACACCAGAGAGAGTGTGGTGACCAAGCTCAGTCCGTTTCTGAAGTAAACTATGAAGAACACCCTGAGTAAGGGCACAGCTTACTCTCAGCTGGGGGCATTAGGAAAGGCTCCAGAGACAGTGTCTGACCCAGTCGTTGATAGAGGAGAAAAACTCGCAGATAAACCAGAAGGGAAATACAGGCAAAGAACACCACATAAGCAAGAGTGCTTAAGAAGCCAAATACTCTTTTCCCTCCATGCTGTAACTCTGTTCAGCATAAGAGATGGAGGGGGCAGGAGACAAGGCGGGCAAAGCTCTCTGGGGCCAGTTCCTTTTCACGAACGTCACTGCAATTTCACTTCTAGAACAGCTGTTTCTTGTTGGAGGAGGGAGATAAAAGGCTTACTACATTTATCCTAAATTTTCAACCATTCGCTCAACAAAATTTCCTGAAGACTAGCATGACAGGCATTGTGCTAGGAGATGAGGACATGCTGGAGAGTAATACAGTCTTTGCCCTCATAAAGTATAGTGTCTAATGAGGGGAAGACCCTAAATAAAGTCCATTCACTGAAGTTAAATTTTTTAAAGACTCATTTTCTGATTCCAAGCATTGCTTTCTCATCAAATGTTTGTTTTGGGGTTTTTTTCCCCCTCAATTGCTATTCTTCTAGCAAAAGAATACTTTTGTCTTTGTCTTACTCACCTGCAAAAGTCCAGGACTTCCATTTCCACATTTTTATGACCATCACCTAATTTACCCAACCCCTCATCACTCATCTTCCTCCTTAACCCTTTCCTAGGCCTGGCACTTGGTCAGTGAGGCTCCTACGATGCTCCATCTCTCTCTGAATGCTCCTGTGCTCCTTGATTTAACTGAAACCTAGCTGTCCCTGATATGATCACTTCCCTTGATGTGCTCTCAAAAGGAGTCTATTTTATCTCTCCTATCCCATGTATCTCATGGATCAGAAGAAGAATGTTTGCCCCCTGCTTCCCCATTGAGCTTTAAAATTATTTTTTCCTCCATTCTTGATCAAAACCAAGAACCTCTGAAGATCATATCATTAGCTCCTTTTACATATACTTCCTCAGTGCTATCATCTTTAAACCTTCTGACCGTATCCCTGATTCACTAATGCTTTGACTCGTAGGTCTGCACCCCCATTCCTATAAACATTTATGGAACTTCACATCCATGTGGTTGACCAGACAGCGCTAGTCAGTCACCCCAGCCACCCTTTCCTCCACCCACCCTACCCACTCTCCCCCATGTTCACTGCCATCTCCTGGCATCATTGCTAATGATGCCAACTCTAAACATGAAAACTCAAATATCACACTTTCTGATCACAATCTTCTACCCTTCCACATCACTTAAGGTAAATAACCCATTTCGACAATTCCCTATCTTCACTAAGAGTTCCAACCTATGGACTTGACCATATTTTGTCTCCACGCTGTGTTAAGTCCCTTCCTTGGCCACCTAGTTGCCATGGCCTGTCATTCATTATCTCCTGCCCTGGCAAATCCTGAGCCCTGGGTCCCTTCTCCCTCTCCTATCCAACTAGCAAGTCCTCACTCTCAGTCCACCCCAACTACCTACCTTCTCCATGCCTGCACCCAAGGGGCTGAATATTACTGTATAAAAAATATCACACAGGGGCGCCTGGGTGGCTTAGTCGGTTAAGCGTCTGACTTTCGCTTAGGTCATGATCTCACGGTTCGTGGGTTCGAGCCCCGCGTCGGGCTCTGTGCTGACTGTCAGCTCAGAGCCTGGAGCCTGTTTCAGAGTCTGTGTCTCCCTCTCTCTCTGACCCTCCCCTGCTCACGCTGTCTCTCTCTCTCCTAGAAATAAATAAAAATATTTTTTTTTAAAAAATCACACAACTGGGCTAACCTAACTTGGCAATCACAAAAAATGTTTTATTTGGCTTACAGGATGTTTGAGAATACGTAAAGCAAAGGAATTTCACACATAAATATGTATTTCCACATTTCCTTGAAAAATCAGCTAACCCTCCATGGCAGCAACCACCTGAGTTGAAAAACAAAGGTTTCTCCTATAGCCACAAAAAATATCTCAAATAACACTTATACATGTTATATACTGTTTTAAGAACTCTATATCTATCAACTAAGTTAATCCTCCAATCAAGTCTATGAGGTAGGTACCACTGCCCTCCTTCCTACAAATGAGAACACCAGGTACTGAGAGGCGTCCACCTGCACACCACATCCAAGCCCAACCAGTCTGGTTCCAGAGCCCTCGCTTGTAACTGCCTCAGACTCCCTCTCTGTTTGCCACGGTCATCACCAGGGCCTCTCCACTCATTTATGCCACCTGCTCCCTTCCCCCAACACTCTGGCACCACATTCCAACCCCCAGCCTTCCCTATCGCAATGAAGGGACAAACTGTCCATCTAGTTGCCCAATTCAAAGCTTAGGAACTGTGCCTTATTCCTCCTTTGGCTTCAGCTTCACATTCAAGCCATCAGCATCCTACCAGGTCCGGCTCTACTCCTCCATCATCCTCACGGCCACCACCCGTATTTTCATGCCCTTCACTCTGCTGGCCTTCTACAGGGCCGCCCAGCTCCCACTCGAGTCTGTTCACCTCACAAATGCCATAGAGATGTTTTTAAAGTATAAGGTAAATCATCCCCTCTCCCTACTGAAATCCTTCAGTTGTAATAAAATCCAACTCTCCAGTACAACCTACCTGTGGCAGCTGCCTGACTTATTCCCATATCGTAATTCCTTCGCTCGCTACGTCTAACAGCTCCCTTCATATTCCTTAAAAACACCAAGCCTTTTTCTGCCTGCCATTTTTCCACTACCTGGTCTTTCTTCCTACAATGTTCTTTGCCTAGTCTCCCTGATACCTGGCCCATTTTCACCCGACACATCTCAGCTCAGAAATCACCTGTTCAGAGTGGCCTAACCATCTCATACAAAGTGGCTCTCCCTAATTCTTCTTTCTTATCTTTCTTACTTCCCTAGTAGTACTCAGCACAGGCTGTAATATCCACTTTATGTCTTTAGCTGTGTTTGCCTGTCTCCCCGCCATAAATGATCTATATCACTCACTGGTATATGCCTGGCACTTAGTAGGCAGTCAAGAAACATGAGCTCATTAATGAATGTCTGCAGAGTTGAAGCTCTCCCACCAGCCCTGGAAGTAATGTTATGATCATCTGTGCCTTCTAAATGACTGGTCAGTCCATTGTAATGTCACCTCTGTTCTTTTTTAATTCATACCCTAACATTCTCCAGCTGATTTCACTCTTAACAAATGATGGTCCTAGAAACTAACCCATCCTGTCCTCTCTTCCTGGACTAGGAATTCTTCCAAAGTCCAATAACAACTTTACACCAATGTTCTATTTTAGGGGGAATTCTGACATCATGCCTCAGCCTGCTCTGGAGGACCAACCTGAACCACCTACAGCCTAAGCATCGTTTGAGATCAGGAAACCAGCCAAGTCTACCATCATACCCAGTGTCACTCTGGTCATCATCCCAAACCAAAGTCCCCTCCAGTCCTGTCTATCCCATACTCTCGTTTCTCCCAACATCTCCTATAATCATCTCCTACTCCCATACCTATGGAGAAAGGACATATGTATGACATGAAAACTTGTTTATAACAACAAATTTTCAAAACTACATGTACATGATCATGTGTTACTGCTGGTCAGTTCAAATACAAAGAAGAGATTCCTTTGGTCACTGGGGACTCCTCATCCTCACATAGGGCAAAACACCAATGAAATGTCAAATTATTGTTCAAAGTATTGAAAACAAAATAAAAATATTATCCTACTCCTATTTTAAAATATCAATAAAAGTTTCCTCTTGGGGCGCCTGGGTGGCTTAGTTGGTTAAGCGTCCGACTTTCACTTAGGTCATGATCTCGCGGTTCGTGGGTTTGAGCCCCACATCGGGCTCTGTGCTGACAGCCAGCTCAGAGCCTGGAGCCTGTTTCAGAGTCTGTGTCTCCCTCTCTCTCTGACCCTCCCCTGCTCATGCTGTCTCTCTCTCTCTCTCTCCTAGAAATAAATAAAACATTAAAAAAAAAAAAAGTTTCTTCTCTGGATAGGAAGAAAAAAAGGGATGTCACGATATACTTAAATTTGAATACAAAAGTTAACAAATACTTACAAGTATATCTAATAAGTTTAATTTTCTCCAACAGCATTCAAACAGCTTTTCTTGTCTAGCTTTTTATCTTACCATCAAGGCTGGCACGCATTAACCTCGTATCAGAAAGCAGATGGACTGTTTCCCTGCCTATGAAAATCTTATTTACAGTGTTGTATATTTCACACAGTGACCTCATATCTGGAACCCATTCCTCTCCCATCTGCAAAGAACAACTGTTCTCATCTGCGGAGGGAGGTTCTGGCTGCACAGTCTCATGATGTCACAAGCCAGGAGGAATCATTTACAAACTCCTGGGAAAGAGAGTTGTTATATTGATCAGCTTTTTGCTTTGTTTTAAAATCAGCAAAGCATTGCTTCAACAGGAAAAATTAATAGGAAGGAGCAAAAACCATATCATTATAGAATATTTTCCTCACCGTATCTCTATAAATTCTATAACCAAAATTATAAGCAATTTTTCTTCTAAGTTATAACAACTGAGTTTCCCTCACTCTTCTTCAAAAGACAGTGCCTTGATCCTTTATTTACTTTATCCTCAGTAAATAAATATTTACTCAATATAAACTTATTATGCATCAGTCAAATGCCACGCACCAGGCTAATTTGTGGGAATAGGATACAACCCTACCCACAAGGAAATGAATGGCCTATTTGAGGAAACATAAATACCAAGAAATGATAATAAGTTTAGAATAAAGGGTAAACAACAAAGTCAGTTTCAGGAAATAGTCATGGCCAATTCTGCTTGGAGAATTAAAATAAGGCTTCTCAAAGGGGGTAACATTTAGGTAGGGACTTAAAGGTCAAGTACAATTACATCAAGATAATGGAAGAAGCATTCATTCCAAGCACTAGGAACAATGTGTACAGGGTCACAGAAAAAACAAAGAGCAGAGTTTTTACAGGAAAAGTCTTAAAGATCAGGGTAAATAGAGCCACATGTACCTGGAGGAGAATGGCAGGAGGTGAAAATGAGAAAAGGCACAAAGAGGCCTACATGAAACAAGATGAAGGCCAAGAAACTTGTAGATAACGTAGAGTTCAGTATGTGGATTGAACGATAAACAGCAAATGAATGGATTATGAACGGACAAATGTCCAAACGCAGCTTCAACTCTGAGAGGCCTTGTCAAAGAAATCCAAGGGAAGTTTACAACAAAAGGTCAATAATACCTCTAAAATCATAGAGATCATTTATTTGTTAAAAAATTTTCCATTCAAGAGTCAACGAAAATGCTCCAAAAGATAAGCACACCCCATGTTCACTACAGCATTATTTACAACAGACAAGCTATGAAAACAACCTAAGTGTCCGCTGATGGATGAATGGACAAAGAAATTGTGGTGGGGAGAATGGATTCAAAAGGCTATGATGAAAAAAAGAGTCTATGATAATCTTATATGCACTTGAATACAGATAAATAAGAAAAAGAAAAGGTGATTAAAAAGGAAAGGAAGATGATAGTATCTGTTCATTGGCTGGATCTTCATTGTGGCCAAAGCCACAAATGTAGAAGGTGGGCTATCAGAATGAGAGAAAATGGAACACAATCAACATCTTCAAGTGAGCCGGGTAACACACCGCAGTACCTCTGTACCAATCCAAAACTTATAAAATAGACTTCATTCAAATATGTGGTCCTGCCTCCCTCTCCATCTTACCTATTTCCTGCCTCATATTTCATGCCTAAGGAGACCTAAGCTGCTTTATTCCATACTGATTCACAAGTTCATGTTTTCATCAATGCCCCTGCCTCTCCATACCTCCTTCCCACACACAGATCACTCACACAATAGGCCCAAACTAGTCACCCTTCAATATCCATCAAGAAGTCACCTCCTACAGTCTCCCAGTTTCCCCCTAACATCCTTCCATACACCTTGGTAACACTTTTATTTGAGCACTTACCATTTATCCCCAAATCATCCGTTCACATGATTGCCTGTCCACCCTGGACCAGGTGCTCAAAGAACAGAAAGACAATCTCATCCGCTTTCATCTCGAGCGTACCCATGAGGCACACTCCTAACTATGAACTGTTCACGGCCCGCAATGTGGGCTCAACAAACATTTGCTGAGCCAAACCACTGAACCAGTTTGTAAAAGTATTTTGTAAACTACAAAGCACTCAACAAATATTGTCTGCTGCTGTTTACCATATCCTTTTCAACCCTATTCTCCAACATTTAGCATGCATGTGCTCCAAGCAAACCGAACTACCAATGTTTCTTGGAGCCCAACCCTATTTGCCACTTCTGTCTGAGTGGCTCACACTGATCTCTCCATCTATAAAGTGCTTTCTCTTTATCTTCATTTATTCAAACTGCATCACTTCATGGCCTGGCCCAAATATATATCCCTTCCAATAAAATATTCCTAGACAGCCCTAACTGGAAGTAACGGCCCCTTCCACTCAGATCTCAGAGCACTCTGTCTGTCTTGTGAAGCTGACCACCTCTAACTGCCCTGTAGGGGTAAGAAGGGGAAGTCCTGTACCTGCGAGCTCATCATTTCCCTCAAGCACACAATGCAGAATAATAAACAGTTTAATGAGTAATAGATGACTCCTGATTCCACATAGTCAAGGAACAGCCAGCTAGTACGTTTTAAGCACCTGGATAAGTGTTCCTCTCTTCAAGCCTTCTGAAACATCCTCCTTGGACATGTAGGTTTCAAATATGCTCTTTTTCTTCCCTCGTACGGACTTGTTCTTTGCCTTTTTGTCACCTGGCGAAGCACCAACACCATGTGGGCCGACCACAGAGGACACACCTAGAAACATGAGGCAGCAGTCAACTCTTTCCTCAACGAAACATCTCTGTATTTTTAAAAGTGGAGATATTTTACCTTTTTATTTAGAAGACCAATAAAAAGAATGAAATGCTCTGATAATGATTTCCAACAGTAAAAAAAAGAATGAACGGATTAGGAAACATGAGTAAAATGTACACAGATGAGACTTGAGTTGTAAGTCAGCACTACAACGTGCATGGAACATAATCTGAATAATGGGCTCAATATGCTTTGCTGTTTATAGACACAAACTTTTTTAAAATAGGAATTCCTAAGAGATTGTCACTTTTCTGGAGGAAACTGTGAACAGCCTTACTCAATACAACAATAAATTAAGACAACAAGAAACCACACTTAATTCGAGAATAAATAAGACAAAAGAATATTTAACAAGTCACCAAAAGAATTATAGTCCCCCTCAGGCCTGAGCCCCACCCTGAATTCCATTCCATTTGTATTTTATTTCAGGGCCCCAGTTGCTAGAGTAGACTCCATCTTCCTTCTGCTACCTCTGGGAGTCCCCAGGGACCGGAGGTTCAGCCTGCAGTCAGGATGGCTCATTACTGGTTCCAAGGTCGCCTCTTCTCTGCAGATCCAGGGGGCCCTCCACTGCTCAGCTCAGAGTTCTTCCAGTCTTGAGTAGCTCAGGTGCCACTAGCTGAAAGCAAAGAGACACGGGTGGCTAAAGAGCAATTAACCTGGGGCCTCCTCTGTGCTCTCGGACATTTAGTACATGAATCATTAAAAACAATGTGGGGCCCCTCCTGGGTCCAGGTTTCACTTTCTCCTAGGCAGTGGGACAACCACACCATCTGTCCTGAGTTTCTTCTCAGGGTAACTGCTTGTTAGGGCCACTTCAACTGAAAACCTCCACACGCAGGGCAATGAGGCAGAAATTAAAAAGTTCTGCAGTTCCGGGGCGCCTGGGTGGCTCAGTCGGTCAAGCATCTGACTTCGGCTCAGGTCATGATCTCGGGGTCAGGGAGTTCAAGCCCCGCGTCCAGCTCTGTGCTGACAGCACAGAGCCTGGAGCCTGCTTCAGAGTCTGTGTCTCCCTCTCTCTCTCTCTCTGCCCCTCCCTCACTTGCATGCGTGCATGTGCGTGCCCTCTCTTTCTCTCTCTCTCAAAAATAAATAAACATTTTTAAAATTTAAAAAAAAAAAGAGTTCTGCAGTTCCTTTCAGCTTTTGAAATGGACAAGAGCAGGAGGGAATATAATTTTGAAGAAACACGTATAAAAATCTAGGAGTCTTAAGGCTATAATGAAACAGGTACTAAACTAGGGCTCAAAAGATGCAGCATTTCCTAAGCACTTACTATTGGACAAATGACGTTCCTTTATGAAACCAAGTAAATATTCTTTGGAATTCATCAGCAAAAACCCAAATTCACTACCACAACAGGATATCCAAAACTATCCAAGGGACCCCAGGTGGTTCACTGGCTTTCAAAAAATGGCAATACTGTAGTTAGACATCTATTTCCTTACTCTTACCTGACATCACTTCAAACCAATCATCTGACCAAAAGCTCAGGCAGCTGCTTCTGAGGAATATAAGGCAGCTGCTTGGATCAGTGGACTGGAATCCAGGGCCCTGGAGCTGGCCCCTGGCTTTCCACCTGGATACTGAACACATCATCACAACTTCTACTTTCTCCTCTCAGCTGGCCACCAGCCCAGAGATTTAAGCCTTTACTTGCAAATTTCCAAAATCCTGGTGGGTAGGCTTCTTTCCCATAAAATGGATCAAGATGTCATTCTCAACACTAGCTTCCATTTCCTGTAAATTTCCCACACACATCCTTCACTGAAATGACCTAATTTTTCTTTAAAGTGAAAGTAATACTAACTCAGGAAAAGAGAAGCTACAAAGGGTAATAGGCCACTTAGCAATACATGAAGAGATTCAAGGATAAAGTAAAAAAAATTACAAAAGGGAGAGAAGCAGATGGTCTTAGATAAACAACAAGGTAATGGGAAGGACACACAAAGGAGGCCAGACTGTCTGATGGTTTAATTCAGAATGCATTCATCCACTCATCAATTCAACAAATACTTCTGCAATGTACTGTACTAGGCACAGTGAAGAATACAAAAGCTAATTAGATTTATCAAAATCATATTGAAATAATACAAGTTGGGAAATGATAAGCACTACATTTTTTTAAGTATGGGTAAATATATGTATGATGGACGAAGCAAAGTATCTCCAAGTCAGGAAATCAGAGAGCTTCAGAGAAGATGTTAAGGTCTTAAGAACCGAGAATGTGAGAAAAGTATGCTGCTGGCAAAAGGAAGCAAAATAGAGACACAAACAGGAAAACACAAGCATTTCTTACAACATTAATTCCATGTGGGTAGAATCCAATCTATATGAAGGGAGACAGTGGCAAGGAAAATAAAACAAGTTGGAAGGTTTAGAAAAGCAGCCCTTTTCAAAGGCGGTAGGGAATTTCTGAAGCATGGATGATCAGAAGAGAAGAACAACAGATCAGAATTGTGTTTCAGGAAAAATGAACCCGGCACAAGATTCAGAGTCTTCTTGGGCTAGGAAAGATAGCAGCAGCTGCACCTTAGGAAAGAACCAGAACAGACTCGGGAGAAAGGAAGGAAGGCCTGAACTAGAGTTGAACAAGCACACACTGAAAAGAAGAACCCCATGACACAGCATCACCCAGGACAAACTGGCACTGCTTAGCAACCCGGCAGAATGGAAGTCTCAGGAGCACGAAAGTGGTGACAACTGTTCGAGATTTCGAGCAAGGAGACCAGGAAATCATAATGTCACTAAGTTAGAGAAGATAATGAATTCTACTTAGGGTATTATATATCACTACATGAAGACATGCCTCCATGTATACCTATACACATGGAAATATGTACCTCTATGTATATACCCCTACCCCAAATACTTGGAAAATTAGAGCATAACTTAGATAAATTGGTCATCTATTTGCATAAAAATGGTAACCCAGAGTTTCTAGAATGGACAAGATGGCCAAGAAAGGGTAAACTGGTACCAGAAGGGGCCCAGGACAAAATCTGGGTTAGGGCAACTTTTAGGAAATGCAAAGAATAAGAAGTAGAAAATATAACTAAGAAGCAGAAATATATAACCAAAAAGCTAACAAAGATGTAGGAAAAGAACCAACAGAGCCAAATGTTAAGAAAACAAGGGAGAAAATAACTTCCAAAGGAGAACAAGTTAACGATCTCGGTTTGCAACCACTACTAAGAATACGATTCATGGCAGCCTTGGGTAAGGTGAAGAAGGGCTGGGGGCAAGCTGCAAGCAAGAAAAAGACAACACAAAAGCAAAAGCCAGAATTAAAAATGGGGTACAAAAAATCAAGTCCTGATGCAGGCAAGAGTTCAAAATTAAGGGAAGTTACTGTCAACTGGGTGAAATGAAGACAGAGATCTCAACTCAAATGTCCCAAGGTCAGCTACATCTGTAACTTTCCTTCACAGCAAACATCCTGGTTGTTGTGATGTATACCTAGCTTGTCTCTCTAGTTCAAGAGGACAAGGAATGTTCGGTTGGGTTCATTGCTATAACCCTACTGACTCCCATGTTACCTGGGATTTAGAATATGTGCTTATTATGCACTCCTTAAATGAGTGGATGAGTTTATTTTCATGAATTAGCAGTGAGAACACCAAACGGGGGGGGGGGGGGGTCACTTAGGGAAATTACACTAAAGAGTGAGCAAAGAATAGGAAAAGATGGGGTGCCTGAGTGGTTCAGTTGGTTAACTGTCCAACTCATGATCTCAGGGTCGTGAGTTCAAACCCCACTTTGGGCTCTGCACTGGGCGTAAAGCCTACTTAAAAATAATAATAATAGGAAAAGAACACAGGACCCAGGAAACAAGAGTTTCAGGTTGGCAAGAGAAAGCCAGATAGCTGGGCAGAGAATCAAAGGCAAGCTTTGATTTGATCAAAGGACTGGAAGGAGATGGAAAGATTCCAAATAGAGAAGATACTAAGCAGAAGATGAATGAACAAGCAATCTTCCCAGCAACATGGGTATAAAAGTCCATTTACCCAAGAGAAATCCTGGGCACCCCTACCTTAACACATTGAAAGCACAAGTCAATTTCTAATCCTCACCAGCTTTCAGAATGAGGGACACTTGATGTACTGCCCAAAGGCCCACTGGTTTCTTGAGAGGGTGTCTTATCATGGCAATAGCTGCACATTCTGAAGAGTTGAGCAGATGGTAGGATGAATAGGCAGTAATGGTCAATAATGTCACATGGAACAAAAAGGCAGGAATGAAGAGGAATGGAGAAAAAGGCACTAGACTTGAGAACAAGTAAATCTGAAGAAATCACCTGGGTGAAAGAAGGGGTGTCTTGAGACCCTACATATTCCCCAAACCTAGCACAATGCACAATACAGAACAGGTGCCCAAAATTTAAATAAATGAAGCCTATGTGGAACAGAAACCAACTTGCAATGAATATACACTAATAAGAAATTTAAGTAGTGGGAGTCAGGACTAGGGCGAGGCAAGCCAGGTACCTAGGATGCAAAATTCATAAAAGAAAAGTCATGCAAGTACCAACCCTGTACCTGCAGGACTTCGAGAGAGACTCCTGAAATGTTTGTGCCTGGGCATCATACTTGCCTTACCCTATATCTCAGGCCTGATGAGCGAGAGCAGATGAAATCCATGAACCTGGGCAATCAAGGAAAGCCAAGGAGATACAATTAAAGTTTAAAGAGAGAAAAGGTTCAGCCTATTCAGAAGCTGAGATAGAGCCAACAGAAAGCGAGACATGGTAAAAACAAAGGAAAGAGAACATTATTGATGGAATAAAGCAAAAAATAATAATAAATTTAAAATAAGTTTCACTGAAATTAGAGAAATAAACAATTTACATTGCAAATAACTGGGAAACACACGAAATAATCAACAAGTTGCATGAAGACACTAGTACCCAAATTGCCAATACAGTGCTACCTTACAACATGTTCTGAAATAAAATTCAGTTTGAATAAAACTTAAGTGTTTAAAAATGAGACAAACAGGGACAGAGGCAAAGAGAGAGAAAGCAGGGGAAATAATGCCCAGAAAGGCTGAATAAGGAATGAGACAAATATTATCCCCAGAACAAAAAATAACAATAAAAGCAAATAAAATTATCAAAACCAACTATTGAAGGATCTGGATATTGGCCAAAGACATACAAAAAACTTAAGAAGTGTTTATTCAAGAAAATCTACTGAATCTCGGTAAGAACAAGGGAAGTGTGTGGTGGTTTAACCTGGAGTTCCCACCATCCCCACCTATTCCCAACCCCTTGGTATGGAAGTCCCATCAGGGCAGAGCGAGCTGTGGAGACTGGCAGCCGAGCTTAGCCAGAGGTAGCTAAACTTCACTGAGCACAGCAAGAATAATTCCATGCCCAGGGGCATTTTCAAAAACAATAATGATTCCAGGCACACAAAAAATCAGGGAGGCCAATATCACAACTAGCCTGAATTTGCAACACTAGTTAGGGCAAGCAACAGATCAGGAAACCAACCAGAAATTTAACAGGGAGAATTAGAAATGAGACGATCAAAGTAGGCCTTGACAAAAATCTCCTTTTTCCTGCTATGTGCACGCACAGGACTTTAAACATGCAGGAAAGAAATTAAAGGGCAA